AGACAACGTGTAATTTGGATTAAAAGAAGGAAATTCTTCCTAACGACAAATAATCATCGAATTTTATGTTTGACAAAAACACAAATTTAATATACATGTATTTTGTGTGAAGCATTACATGTACACGCTTATCACTATGCCCTACCTCTTGGATATATGGACATGCTTATGATACTCAGATAAACACCAATTTGCATCTTATTATTCACTACGCTTTCTTTTTCTATAGGATATAATGGCCGAACTCGTTTTAGAAAACAAAGAACTAAGTGCGATTAAGAGTTTTTGGTTGGGACTGAATTATAATAAAGCCTCAGAAAACTATATATGGACGGATGGAAATGAACTTAAACATCAAGAGTGGTTTGTAATAATACTCGTATAATATATATACTTGTAAAAACTTCAAAGTTCTCCATTTTTTGGCACCGTTTGACCATTCTTCAATTTCACAAAGCCAATGGTATATGATATTTATGACTGAGATCAAATGATTTGTTTCTGATGGAACTTTAAACTCTTCCCTGTTGTGTTATTAAAAATCATTTTAATCATTAGGCTGTTAAGTAAGGAGAAACCAGACATGCCCTGTGCTGTATTCAATGGAACAAATATAATCAACAGTGGATGTGAAAAACAATATCAGAATAGCGTTTTTTGTACTGCGCCATTTGGTAAGAATATGCTAATGTTCCGTCTCAATTATTTCAACAATAAGGCTTTGAATAAGAAATTGAATTATAATATTGAACTAATTTTTAATAAGGATTCATAATCAAGAAAACTAAAACAAGACAAGCTTGCAGTTGGTAATTTTGACCACGGTCGCAGACGACGTAGGGTATTTCCCTAAACAATCACAAAACTGGGTAGTGCTTTTGATTCTGACAAGACAAAATTAAACTCCTGATTGGGAATCCTAAAAAAATGAAGGTAAAAGCTACTTTCCATCCGCACATAAAGGTATCTTCTTAGATTACCAATATATAATTGATACATCATAACATGAAATTTGTAACGAATTGAAATTCCACTGACGATCGAAAGATTTCATGTTTTACTCCAACGACTTGTCATTTCTAATTCTAAACGAACAGAAACCATTTTTAGATTTTGAAGAAGAAGAAAACCCAAAATCTGCTTTTGTAAGTCATGCGAAATTCATACAAATTATTTTGCTATGTTCTAGTTTCTGACAAGTGGTATCTCAGTATGTTTTACATGTTCTGAGGGAATGTAAAACATGAGGCATGACTTTTTCAAGTGGAAAAGGATATTAATGTTATTCTTCCGACGATGCGCATAATTATGCACATGATAAATAAACTGTTATAAAAGTTTATATGATTGACAGAGAATATAAACAAAGTACACTTGATGTAAAAACATTAAAAAAAAAATCAGAGTAATTTATTAATTAATATATAACCAGATCTTTTCTCGTTTTCAAGAAAAAAATACCTTAAAATTGATCGTAATTATAATATAACGCAGAAACAAAATTTAGTTTCTCCCTAACAATTGCTCAAAGTTTAACAATGTATAAAATAATTTAAGAAGACAAGGTAATCTTCGTTTGTAGTGGATGAATAGTTTTTATCAGCATTTCGCGAGAAATTTCCATCGATCTGTCAAATTCGTCAACAGAATTTTCCAACCTTGTTTTCTTGTAGTATCAATGCTAGTAAAAAAAAATTATACAAAATATTAAGTTATATTTAAGATTTTTTATTGTGATATTGTGTGAATATAAAATATAATAGAAAGATGTTTTATTTTTAAAATTCCAAGAATACATGGGGTATTAAGTAGTTGGGTGGGAACCCCGTCCCTCAGCAACTGTGATTGATAATGATAGATTGTAAAAAAAAAATGAAATTGTATTTAAATCTAAAACGCTTTTATCAAAAGACAAAGACACATTTTACTATCTGTAATATATTTACGTCTTCTTTCTTTATATACATAATCTAGATCCGACATGTGGAGGAGTATATCAGCTGCATCAAAGTACTGAGGTGACGTCACCGAATTACCCGGATCTTCACCCGTCCGATATAACCTGTCAGTATGTGTTTAAAGTGAGTCTTCCTCATTTAATAAATCATAATTTGACCATCACAATTGAAATGCTATTTTTTTTTTTTACATTCAGTGAATTTAAAAAAACCTTTGTTTTCCTTCATAATGAGACTGTATTTATAAACCCTCATTCTATTGTGCCTATTCAGTCCGACTTTATTTCTTTACTCAGATTATAATTACCTTATGCTGTTGGAACATGAAAAAAAAATACATTGTACTGATTACTTATTATGCTTATAATATTTTTCAAAGAATATAACGTTAAAATTAATTTGTACAACATTTTCTAGATATGTAAGAAGTTATTTTACGTATAGAAAATCCTTTCTCTGTTCCCTTAATTTAGTCTTTTATTGAATTGCTGAACTCTCTTACAATTCCAAATCACAAGTTTGTTTGACATGATTTTTATGCTTAATATTGTTATAATTCAATAACCAGGTTTCGGATAATCGAAAGATTCAGTTGACTTTTCAAGATTTCTTCCTGGAGCATTCAGAAAACTGCAGGAATGATTATGTTGAAGTTCAGACCACTACGGACGTGTCAGTTCCAGGAAAAAGGTACACGTTTATACATGTAATTATTTTGTTCTTACTAGATTTATTCTTCCTCCAAGATTTGTACGGAATGAACATTGTAAAAAAAACTTTACATTATTGATAATATAAGAAAAACTCAAACTTAATTTGTAGAAGACCATGAACCAAATTGATTCGAAAGCGCAATAGATTAATGTTTGGGAGGTTTCATTTAAATTTGGTTTCTATGTTACCCCTAAGAAAAAACATTGTACTGAATATTTTATCTATTTTAATGTACCACTTTTTGCAATCATATAATTAGTGATTAGTGAATTTGGTATACATGTATTTTAAAAAGATTATTAAGACAAAGTAAATGATTTTACAAATGAAGCTTTATTTCCATTTCATGACAATGACAGATTGTTTTGCCTAAGATTCACCGTTATAATCCATTAATGTTGAAAAGTTTAAAGTGTAACGTTTAAAAATTATCAATCATACTGATCATATGATTAAAAAAAACATGCAGGAATAATAAAAATTTAAACGATCCAATACATCGTAGCCATTCGGTTTAAAGAAAGGTTATTTATATTTTAAAAATTATCCTTGATTTGGCAAAACACTTACTCATTTTTGTTTATTTTCAGATATTGTGGTACACAGTTATTTAATCAAACTCTAGCGTCGGATGGAAACTTTGCAATAGTTACCCTAAATACCAATTCAAAAATTCAGGGGAGAGGATTCAAGTTGGAGGCGTCTCCTGTTCTTGTATTCCGGAACAGTGGGACATCTCAACACTTCGCATTCACAAGAAACATTCGAATTCCTTTGTCATTTTTCAGAAAACTTTTTGAAAATTTACCAAGCCGACTTGGTGAAGGATAGTTTTTTTTTCACCAAAATGATTTTTCTGAACAATAATATATCAGAGTTTGATTATAATTATTTCATAGCAGATTTAGAGAAATTTTGTAGTAATATAGAATAGAAAAGATATAAATCATCTTGCAATGCTTTAACTGCAACGGACTTGCTATTCATGTAATAGAAATAGCCAGTATTTATCAAATAAATACAACAGGAAAAGTATTTTGCTTTCAATTTTCAGGCTGCGCAGTACAAGCAACATTTGTGTTGTTGCTGTAGGCCCATTATTGAAGTACTGTAGATACTTTTAAACACACAGCCATTTGTTATTTATTGCATTAACAGTCCATGAAAAATTGTTCCTGACTTAAAAAAAATACATGTTTTGATTTGAGAAAGAAAAAACAATTTAATAGAACGGACATTTTCATGGCACAGCATGTGCAAATGAGAAGACTTTTACTTGCATTTATCTTTATTTATGTAGTATCGTTAAGATTGTGATGCAGTGTGTGTCTTCCAAATTATTCGATACCCAAGATAATGCTGTGGATACGTTCAGGTTTTTTTTTAACCGAGACAGGCTATAGGCGAAAGGTTTATGAAATAGGGTTTCAAAAATTTTGTTTAAAGTCAGTGTTTTCTGAAAGCTTTGGTCGTTATAATAACCTTGTTATCAAATATATCCTTTGCAGAACTGGTACTTTTATTGACATTTTACGAAAAAAACAGAGTCTTTCGTTTTTTCTTAAAAATGACTTTGGATAATGTCCTCTACATTACAGATACATACACTCTTATTTGGTAAATTGAAAATTTAAGTTTAAAAATCTGAATTTTAAAATTTCCAATTTTTTTTTTGGATTGGTAAGTGTACACCTTCTGAACAAACGGTAGATTAAAAACTCAAACGTTAAAAATCCAGAAATTGGAAATTTGAATTTTGAACATTTAAGGTAAAAATCTGAAATATCAAAATTTGAAAACCTGTTTGAAAATTTGAAAAATTGACTAAAAAATTTAATTTCAATATACCAATTAATTATTATTATTATTTTTTTTATAAATTTAGAAATTTGAAAAAAATTTATTAACATGATTTTAGAACTTAAAACCATTTTAGAAATTTGAAATGGTAAGTGTTTAATGGACTTTTGAGCTTGGATACTGTTCGTTATCTCCATATATATTTCACAGACCCTTCTCGATCTTTTACTTAAAAGAAATACGTACTTTACCAAATGTTATATAGAAAAACAGAGAGAATACAATATATACTTTATTTGAAGGTTCAATAAATTCTGAAATAAAATTTTGAAAATCAAAGATCTGATTTTACTGCCACGCTTTGGAGTTTTATTTTTCTGTATTTGTGATGGTCCATGTGCACTTTGTCTCTCTACGTGTATTTCACATATTCCTTTTATCATCGAACTCAATTACTAATGAGTAACTGTCCGTTAATAACACTTATTCATAAACTTTTGCTTGTTAATTTAATTGTTCGTGTATACAAACGATAAAAATTTTTGACATTTCTTATTGTATTATAAATTACCATACATATATATAAAATCATATTCTATTTGAGAATGTTATATTCAAAGCAAAATTAATCTCAACTACAGTATACTTATGTAAAAACCTTGTAATAAACTAGTCATACATTCAAATTTCTTAATTTTCCGTTAGGTTTCTGGCTCACTATGGTTTTCCTCTGAAGTTTCACTGAATTGTCTAGTGACATAAAAATTGTGTGAGTGTTCATAATCTACAGATTCATTAGAGGAACAAACCGATCTGCTTCCATGTACGTGGGTTGGTTCAATATATGTCCCATCGTGTCCATGATTTTGTCTTCGCCTACATTTTACGACTATTACAACGATGGAAATAATGATGACGATGACAAGTACGGCACCTACAGACGAACCAACATACAGCATCGTTTGGCCCTCGGGTTCTGGTGGTCCCTTGCACTGAGGTCCACAACATTTTGGACCACACTCTGAAAGATTCAGTAGAGTCTCGTTACATGTATTTCTGACGCTTATATTCCAAGAAACGTCTAACTGTTTTAAATAACAAGGGTTGTCCCAAAAAGTAATACACATGAAAAACGGATAAGTTTCTCTTTATTAAATAGGACAAGGAAAAGTTTACCTTTTTTGAGACACTGCTTGGAGGGACAGGTTTCCTTCAAGTCACAAAACCCTTTAACCAAAGCTCCGTCTATTGAACTTGTGCACCAAGAACAACCAGAGGTACGGAAGCATTCACTATATATATATATATATATATATATATATATATATATATATATATATATATATATATATATATATATATATATATATATATAAGGATTATTTTGAATTTACTCCATGATAAGAAACAATATAGTTTTTAATAATTAATTGACTGCAGCCTCAATAAAAAGATATGCAGAGTCAATGAAAGGGATATTAGAAACAAAAAAAAAGAATTTTGTCGACTTTTGGACAGATTTTCCCAAAAGTTTGTACTATATACAACAAAATAAATTATAAATATACTCAGAATTTACAACTTGCCTTTCTGTTTTTCGACAAGGGCAACTGGTCGGAAAACAGGTTTCCAGATTTCTAGTTTTTTCTTCTTCGGGTACACTAACAGACTCAAGAGTTGGTAGCTTTGGATTACAAGGATCTATTCCTTCCCTATCAACATTTACAAATTCATTGATTAAAATTGCTTGAAAAAAAAGAGAAAAACAGAAGTGTTAAAGAAATGCCTCTGAATGTAGAAATGGATTACAGTGGAAATTGAAATTTTTGGACATGTTTTTGACCTTTCCTTACATGTTTTCATATTTATTTTCACATTCGTTGAAATCTATGGTCTTGTAGCAAAGACATGAACAGGTGTCTTCTCCGCATTGTACAGAACTGGGAGAAGAGGAACTCTGAATAAATATAAAAGTGAAAAGTAATTATATTTATATAAAACTCGTTATTTATTATATTGATATCAAATATGTGGATTATTGTCCCTTGGTTAATTTATGTATAAGCTTTTCACATTTACCCAGGTAATGTTATTGAATAGTACAATAAATGTTGTCTTACCAAACCTCTCTTTCGAATAATCTGAACATGGGGAACCGAATTAAAATGTATATATGCAGGAAGGCTTACTTAATATTCTTTGCTGCAGAAAGTTTAACATTATAAAGTCAAATATGAAATTAATAAATAAAATTTATGGAGATGATAAGCAGTATTTAAGCTCAAAAGTCTATTAAAGAATACAAAAATGTGGAGCAGATCAAACAGGACCTTAAAACATTGGAGGTGGGATCATGTAGTATGGATCCCACCTCTGATGTTTTGCAGGTCCGTGTTTCCTCTGCTCCTGTTTTAATTTGTATTGTTTTATGGACTTTTCATTTTGAATACTGTGCGTTATCTCCATATGTTTCATGGAGGAGTGAGCATCCCCTGCTGACCAGTCACATCCATCGTTTTCTCCTTGTCATGATCGGGAAATGATGTCGACAATTCATTGTGTATATAATGGTCAAAAAATTAGTGTGGAAAACGTCAGTCAGCATTTGACTCAATGATAAATTGTATTTACTGACAAGTTCATTGTATTGACCATAGAACTTACGAAATGATGACTTTAAATGACACTGTTGATATACTTGTTTCAACAACTTGTTTGTCAATAACTTCTTTTTAAAAATTGTTCATACGTAGAGCATGCTCTTGCGTATCAAATCAACAGAAATATAAACACCTTATGCAGGTGATGAAAGTATACTGCTGCTTAAGTAAGGGAAGTTGACGATTGAAAATTTAAAGTCATCTCGTTTGTCATAAAGCTTGGTTGTTAGATTACCATTTACTTATCTAGTGAGAGTAGGAAATGTACCGGCGTAGAACAGCATGTTGATGAGTCATCATTGGATACTATTTCTTTAAGTATCAAGAAAACATTCGATCCAGGGACTGGGCGTATTTCGTATTTTTCAATGGGATCTACCAAACCACTCAGCTGTGACCGTAGTAATTTGACCTGAAAAGACGATGATGTAATTAGTTGATAATTTTTTATGCCCAGCATAGGATAACATATATAATAGATATTTTAACTTCTTCTTTAACATTCTGATCTTGGCAGGACACTGATATTTTGATATACCTATAGCATGTTTGGGGGACTTCAAATTTTTAATTTTACAAAAACGGTTTTTGATGTATAAGAGCACAATGACGAATATAAATGTCATTTATTTAATTCTGACAGCTCAAATGTGTTTACCCTGTATGTGAACTGTTCCTTTTTGTTTTCTGTGTCTCTGCAAGGTTGACGGTACATGATACCAGTTGATATCAGAGAACGAGATATTCTGCCCTCCTGCCAAACAAAATGGAAAGGTTAACATTGTATAAAATTTGTAAATAAATATCAAGGAGGCTGAGGGGTCAAAAAATTAACCATCATATATAACTTCATTTTTTAGATATGATATCTTAAGCTATAAACTATCGTTAGGCAAAGACAAAATTCATACATTTTAGTTTTGAAGTTTGATCATTTTTATATATCTTCGTATGGGGCTCTTCGTCTAAAGGAAATTAATATAGTCTAAAAATGGCCACCCTCGTCCTCTGAAGTAGAATCTTTAAGATTTCAGACAAACATATTTCTCAAAAGTCTCGAAAAAGACTCAAAAGACTTGATAATTGAATCACGTAATATATTCTAATATTCTGGAAATTTATACTGAATCTCAATAGTTCCGTTTTTATTCTCATTTCGATAATTTAACATTAAAATAATATGACTAATTCACAATTACTAATATTTAAGGTAGGTCCGTACTTTCAGAATTTTCTGTCAAACTGATAATTTTTCAATTTGATACTTTGAACAAGTCTAAAAAAAACACCCTTAAAAGACATATCTTTGCAGATTGATTTTCATACAACATGTCTCAGCACACATACCTCTAAAAACTCAACAGCCAAAATTGCACATAAAAAAGATATCATATTTCTCTTAAACCAAATCACATCAAATTTAGATTAAAACTTATGAAGATCAAAAATATTCATTTACCTAGAGAAAATTTGAAATATATTTTTTCTTTAAAACTATTGAGAATTATATCTATTCAAAAACATGAAATTTAAAACAGTCTTTTGAAGACGTAAACCCCCCATTTTTGAAATATCAATTTTTTCAATTATTCAATGTAAAATTTTTAAATAATAAAAATTAAATCAATCAATAAAAATAGACCTCAGGTTAGTTTGCTTAAAAGAAAATTAAAAAGATTTAGGTCTTTAAAAGCAATTAAGAATTTTGTATAAGTTCTAATGACATATAGGTCTTATCGATAATTTTACCATTAAAATAATATGACTAATTCACAATTATAATAAACTATATTGCTTATTCTCAAAATCAATAGAAAAGTGAAAATCATAATTTTTTTATATTTTATTTTATTTGTGTAAAATTAGAACCGGATCAATACCAATGTCTGCTTCTATATGTTATAGAAACTTTAAACATTATTCTTAGGAATTCTATTATTCCACAAATTTAATAGCTTCTTATATTCTTGATATTCTTGTTTCATCAACTTGTTTGTCAATAATTTACATCGTTCTAGAAATTGTACATACGTAGAGCATGCTCTTGCGTATCGAATCATTTGAGATTTATAAACTCCGTAAGCAGTTGATGAAGGTATATTGCTGCATAAATAAGGGAAGTTGATAAAAAAGTTTAAGTCATCACGTTTTCATTGAGCTAAGTTGTTAGATTACCATTAACGTCTTTTTCAAGTACAATATCCAAAATTAAACAAATGTTTCAGACTCTGTGGTATCTTTTATCTCAAGCTCAGCAGGATATATCGTATCGACATAAGAATGGATTTAACCATTGTTAATTGACAATACGTCGTCGATCTATCTAAATGTCGAGTTGAAGGCCACAGCAAGTGTTTTCTTCTTTTCACGCATAAGATTTTGCACAAATTCTGCTTCAGATTTATAAAAAATAAAAAAACGAGGCGCAATTGGTACCAATGGGAATTCCAATAGATTGCTGGAAGACCTGGTCTCCAAAAACAACATCAAACTAGTAGATATTGTCGATCAGCAACTCAAGCATCTTTCGATTTTAATTTCTGAGTACTTGTGTGTACAAACAGAATATTTTTTCAAATGACCAATGGCAAGATAAGTAAATTTACACCTTGTAGGTGTTATGAAATTGTTTTTAAATGATGAAATAACATGTGATGTGGATTGGTTCTTTACTCATTTATTGACATAGAAATAACTTACCATGTAGGAGATATGGATTCGATTTTTAACTGGAGACGTGGTCTCAATGTAAAAAGGGTGCATAACAAGGAATCCACTATTGTCTATCACTATACAGCTAAAATATAAAATTATTTCATACCTTACGTTATACTATCTCACGATTACTATTGTCTATCACTATACTAAAATATAAAATTATCTAATCTATTACGTTATACTTTCTCAGGCTTACTATCTAAAAGAGATTTAAAGGCATTAAAATATCACTTATAAATAAATATCTATAAGCAAATAAAAAAAAGATCATTTCAACTTTCCAAAAAACCTTTTATAAAAACACTATAATGAATAAAAAATTTTGTTTTTTTAAATATAAAATATAAACATCTGATATTATATTTCATATTGTTTTAAAAAAAATGTTATCATAAATAATGCTAAAGTAACAATTTTCAAGCTGTCTTTATAATAATATTTTTAAAAAAAGGCAAGCACGATAAGACTTGATATTACCTATACAATGTTTTGTTGGCACATATTGGATATTTATCTTTTAACAGTTGGTGAAAATGATAAATGGAGAAGTCTGTTCCAATAACTGCCTCTGTTTTAGACTTAGGATTCGTTGCACTGGAATATATATAAGTAGAACAAATTAGTGCAAATAAAAGAATGACAACAAACTTTCTCTGATTTAGCATTATAATGTGAAATGAAGTAGGACAACATTTACATTGATACTACATGTAATATTAAATGGAGACAAGCGCTATTGACAATTACGTTGATGATAAAACGATATCAACAGTCTATCATGATGAAGTAAACTAAAGGTTTTCATACAAAATTTTATGCCATATATTTAAAATTAATTGTTTGTGGATCTTTTTTCCGTTAGTCCTGTCATAACGGCGCACACACGGGGAGTATACCGCTCGACCGGGGGTACATAATCCTTTATCGCACCTAATCCCACCACTGATGTTTCAAAGGTATGTGTTTGATCGGTTAATTATTGTTCGTTATCTACATGGTGATATTTCACTCATACTAAACAATTTCAGCAAAACAAAGTGAACCATTTTAACAGTCCATTATTTCGACCTAAAAAAGAATTAAGACGCAAACAATATTGAGTATACCTTTTCAAAATTACCCTTGATAGCGTTATAACTTTACCGGATCCCCACGAGTCTTCATACGGAGCAGACACCACGTTAATCAATTTCTGTGCAACTGTTCGGCGGTACCTGGTAGAATGATTAAAAAATATTTCGATCAAAATTCCACAATTTACATAGAAACTCAAAATATTGCATTCCAGGACGAGGTGCCTTTTCTTTTCTTTCTTCAATGTCTTAGAAATTAACGTAAATGACAATATTTTTATCCAAAATATAGATTTATTTTTTAATCTTTACACACCACGGTCTAATTTTGTGATCATAATCATTGGTAAGGCGGACGCCTGGATAAATTCGTTGGACACCATCTTCAGTCATTATGTATCGCCAAACTAGATATGGAGCATCTTGATAAGATACAGTCTTCCAAAACCTTTCAATGGGGTATGTGACTCTTATAGAATTGATTGCCTCCACCTTTAAAATTTCCTTTAGATTAATTTTACATCAGACTAGTTTTGAAGAAATTCGTTGTCATGTACAAGTCATTAAGTCCAGAAAATTCTAATTCTTATATTTGCCACAAAAAAAATTACAAAGCATCAATGCAAACACCATTGAATATGGTATCCTTGTAAATCAAGAGTTGGTAAAAACAATTTTATATATTGAATTTAAGGATAAATGATGTTGCTTAAATCAAATGTAAGAATCAATGTGTTTATGATGATAAATAATGTAAATGTTTGTGTAGAAAGCATAATATAAACTAATAATATTTATTTGATAAGGATTACATCGTAAACTGTACACTGAATGCCCTACCTTTAAACCAGGATTGGTTGTAATTTTTCCAGACAAATAGTCCTCATACTGCTTAATCCTGGACTCGGTCTCTTCAACAAACGTGTATTCATACGGATCCAAGAATGCGTCTGGCGTAAGCTTGATTGTTGTTTTAGCTTGAATATAAACAGTGTTATAAAATTCAAACTTCTTTTTTTGCATGTCTCTTCAACTATTATTATTTCTTTACAATGTTCACCTAATTTGTCTATTCTACATCTGTGACTGGACTCGTATCAGATTTTTAGTTTCGTATTGCATATGAACTGAAGCCCAAATATGTTTAGGATCCCCAGGGTGTGAACATATTTTATCTTAAGCTATTTTTGGAGTGCAGGGCAGGAAAAGCCTACAGTATATGTTCGGTCAATAACTTTCTAATTAAAAAAACATGGGGACAAACGTCACACAATGATTACTTATATCCTGCAGGGATGTCATGTTCTTGGTATTCGTAAAACTACGTAGTGACGTAGGATAGTATGTAACCCAGAATGGCAGAATAACTCATATTAAAATATGATTTTTACACGTGGAAAGAATAGCCTTACATGGCAAAGATTTTAAGCATTTCTAAAGAAACCGATATCAAGATTTCAAGGCATTTTTTCGGGTATTTCTTGTTATAATTGTATATACCAATGGGTATATATTCTGAAAGCAAATATTGTATAGTTTCTAAAAATAATTTTTTAAAAATATTATTACCGTTGCCATTGTTACGAAAAATACATAATCATACTGGAATTTATATATTCTTTTTTTTCTTCTTATTTTTTTTCTTTTTGCTTTGTTAAATAGTGTTAAAACTTCTGCCAAATTCAAATAAATTTTCTTAATTATAAAGCATGTTTGTTTTTTAAATCTAATTCATAAGTTTAAATATTATCAGATTGGGTTATTAATCTAAATTCATTTAATTTTTAAAACTGTTATAAAATGTGATGCTCCCCAAAAAACAGACGTGTTACCACCGCGTTGATTTCGATCACGTCAAAATTGCTCGAATAGTGTGGGAAGTTTAACTCGAGCTAGCAAAAAAACTAGTGCAACCAGAAAAGGAATTTCTGTATATTATTTTATTGTAATTATTTTGTCTTTTCAACAGTGCAAGAATTATTCTGACATTTGCAGTATGAACAGATTTATGAATGTTTCTTTACACTATACTGGTTTTTCATGTCAGACGCGTAGAAATGCGTATATGCCATAGAAGGGGTTATTTTATATTTAAAATTTTCAAAAGTTAAAAAGGAGTACTTAAACATAGTAATTAAACTATTAGACTGAAATTCGTAGGTACACCCAAATATGTCAAAGATTTTTAAGATTTTACTTTTGAAACTTCATCTTATAATAAAAATTTTATAATCATATTTACATAAAACTATAGAAACCTTTTGTTGCATATCTATTGAAATGCCTGCAGAAGGGCTGGGGCCAGGTTGTTAGGTCCCAACGATGGTACACGAAATCATTGCTCTGGACAGATGGCCGAGAATGGAACGCCAAGGACGTTAGGCTGTTGTTTTTTGCCATCACCAAACAAAGAGATAAGTTACTCCCAGAAGCAACGATCTATAAATATTTATTTTACAATCTGTTCATAAACTATTATTTTCTTTACAAATTTTGGATAATTTGAAAAGTGGAAAATTTCGGTGGAATATTTTACCGGAGCCCAGTAATATACAGCATCAAGCTCCCTTTTGGAATCGCCATCCAACAATCTGTCTCCTCTAGTCTCATAAATAGTAGTCAACAGGCTCCTTTGTCCTGTCTCAGCCCTGTTTGAAGAAAATTTTAATTTAAGAAAATAAAAATAATTTTGTATTTTAAAAGATAATAATAAATATCCTTTCATGATAATGATTATTTCAAAAGCGGATAGTACAATGTAAATTTTGATTAATGAACAACTATATGTAATAATCTAAGGAAATAAAAACTGTATTTGTTCGCATTTTGATTTTTAATTAGAGTTTCTCGAGGACGATATATCTAAAACCAACTGAAGTTTTTTTCTCAAAAAGAAATCAATTCTATGGAGAAAGGCTATTCAAAAGACATTCAAATGTCAATATGCATTAAATCATATTTGCCTTTTCATGGAATCTATAACTACATGGACATCTCCAGATCTTTCAAAGTTGAAGATGTTATTGACGTCATACTCTGTCGCATTGACATCACGAGGATCTGGAAGAAGCGGATGAATCAATGTCCTTTCCGCGCCGTCAATGATAAAAACATAAGAAAATTCTCCTTGCTGAAGGTAAATAATTTCTGTTACCAGCTCACTGAGCAGAATATCAGCGCAAGCTACCCCAACAAAAGTCCCTCTGTTTCCAATGGGGAGACAACCCGTCACCACAAACTCTAAAACGCAATTAAGCTGTAACTGTTCTCATCTGGTTTATTTCATGAAGTTTGAAGTGTTATTCATTATAATTATATGAAAAGAAATTCGATTTTACAAGTTTCTTTCTTGCTTTATTAAAAACTTTACTCTTTGCGTTCATAATAAATTACGATTAAAATTATACCTTTACTAAAGAAATCTTTATAGGGCTGTGTGTATGTTGGTGTCTGAGATATGGAGACGCTGGAATAGTCGTAATAGGTTCCCATAGCCTCCCGAAGGGACGGCAACATGGCGTCTGTTAAGGTGTAGGATTTCCCGGGCTGTATTATAAAGAAGCATGCATATTTTTAAAACATTTTTCAAAATGTAAATACGGCTTTGTCATGTGATCAAATCCCATGCAGGCCGAAGGACTGAATGGTGGTTTAGATCACGTGCCAACCTTTATTTACATCCCGGTAAATATATTATTACTTATAATTACGACTGATCGAATTCAAATATGTGTACTATTGTTTTCAGCCTATTTTAATGATAAATTTTGATAAAATCTCAAAATATGTCTTTTAATATATTTAATGCTTACTGTAACGTAACCATATGAATCGTCATGCAATGTCTGTTTAGACATATTCACCAACAGCTCTTTGACTTGGCTGCTTAAACCTAAAAGAGACACAACAAGAGCATGCACAAACGTATATATTTATTTTAATATTATTCTCTCCAATTAACAAAATACTATACTCACAAATGTCATAAGATTTGGAAAACGTGAAAAAGTGTGTTCCATGAAGAAAATAAATTTAAGAGAGAGAGAGAGAGAGAGAGCACCCCCAAAAACCACAAAAATAAATCCCATCTCAAATATAAAAAAAAAATATTCATACATAATTTGTAAACCACTATAATGAGAATTTTTACCTACAGCATTACAAACAAATCTCTTATTTTTCAGAAACCAAAAGCATTGCGTTTGGCTATTTGTTAAAAATTGCTACAGATACTTATCTATATGCCGCTATACATTAGATACTAGGTAATACTGTGCTATATCTGAAGCTTTGTATGGATCCTTATGGAATGCATATCAATGTTAATTTATCTTCAGTACTTTACTATATATTTACCCACTCTTCAATTGCTCCCTTATTAATATTACGCTTACTATTTCCTAATCCGTACGTGTTGATGACAACTCTGTTTTGTATTTTCTGATTCTCGTTCTTGATAACCTCAAGGGGGTTGCCTCCACTGTTAGTCCCATCAGTCACAAACAAAATAATCATATCTAAAATAAAAATCGAAATTATCTAAATAGCCTGATCCTAAACTTGTAAAGTTTTTGGTGTTAGTCGTGAGCTCTTTTGTTAGACAGGCCCAAGTGCATCTGCGAATTACATTGCATTTTACAAAACAGTTGCATTAAAAATCCATTTGAAACTGATTTTGAAAATGTAGTGCATAAAAACTGTTTTTCATGAATGTCGTCTATTTCACGACTTTGTCACAAAGTGTGATTCAGACCTTATCAATCTTATTTTCCTTTTCTAACAAAGTGTTAAGACAGCATGATTCAACATTCTAATATTTCATGCCTCGGCAGATGTTTTCTTATGTGTTGTGGAACTAAATAACATCGATGCAAAATACACAAACATTGTGCTATCATTGTTAATCTATTTTGGAGAAGACGGGGATTTTTTTTTTACAATTTGATACCAACATCAGACATGAAACTTTCCATAAAAAAGTACCAGTTTACACTAACCTCTGGCCGCATTCTGTTCGGTTGAGTTGGTTTTAAAATATCCGAATGCTTTACGTAAACCCACTTCATAATTCGACCCTCCTTCTGCTCCTTTTGAAGTAATGAATTTTTTAAGCACATCTTTGGTTGTGCGTGTCACTGGAACAAGTTGTTCATCGTAACAATCATTTGGACTGCTTGCCACGTTGTTAAATAATACAATAGCAATCTATTAAAATAAAGGCATGGTATGGTGGAAGTTATTTTATATGCTAGTGATAAATTTGTGAATTTAAAAAAATAGTATAATTGAAATTGGAGACATGAAGTGTTTCAGTTATTTTGAAATATCTTTATTTATCTTGAACCCTCTAACCATCACAGTAAAGAAATATAGGAATTTGATAAATACGTAAGCATTATAGAAAGATGTTTTGGGGCTTATATCTTCATATGAATGAAAATTTCCTGAGAGGGACGTTTAACAACAAACGTACAACATATACATTCATGCTCTTTTTGTCATATACCCAACACTTCGATTTCCTCATGAATGAAGATTCAATAAGTTAGAAGTAAAGGGTTTCTACCTATAAGCTAAGTGCAATTTTTTTTTTTCAGAGTCTTTTTTTGTTTGAATTTCTGTTCCTTTTTCCTTATGGACTTTTCAAAGTTACCCGAAGAATATTAGCTTACATTTCTTGTTATTAAGCTATTGTTGCGACAATCATTTAAAATAAATCTTGTGTATTATAACTCTGCTTGCCATACAATTTTATTCTAAAGCTTGAATTTTGACAGAGGCTAATATTTTTCATCATGAATTAACCTACAGTTTTTTAAACAAATGAAACATATGGAAATAACGAACTTCATTCAAGATCAAAAGTCCATAAAACAATGAAAAAAATAGGAGCAGAGCAAACACGGACCTCAAAAACATCAGAGGTGGGATCAGGTGTCATTGAGGAGTAAAAGAAACAATATATACCCTGTCATGAACGCTAAGGGTTTCCATGACAGTTATGGCGGCATCTCTTGTCTCTCTTAATTTGTCTCCGCTCATAGAAGCGGAAATATCTAAGACAAGCACCACATCTCTTGGTTTAGAGGTTGTACTGGACACGAAGTATGGCCTGATTTGAAAGGAAAACAAATTAATATAAGTAAATAGTCATACATATTCTAAGGACAGCTTTTTTGCTATCCAGTTATATTTTTTGGAAATAAAAAGCAAGAAAAAGAGAAACAGGTTTTATCATGAAGATGATCGTTCTCGATCGAAGGAATAATTAAGCAATGAATCATTATTTTTTTGAAAGACATAGTCTCACAACTGCAACGGTGTGTGCAAACAAATTGAGTAACGAGTGTAAGCGCGTTATGAAAATATGTTTGCACACACCGTTGCAGTTATGAGACTATATATTTCAAATAATAATGATTCATTGCTTATATTTATATTTTGTAATTCTCTAGATCTAACTTGACTGCAAATGTGATTTATATTCAAAAACCTATGTTTTATCCTTCGAGTACGCTACAGTTAATGGAAGAGCCAACGTAACAGCTTCTGGTCTATGTGAGCGTGATTTTTTATTTTCGCTGATGACGTTTGCGCTTCATCGGCGTTCAACGATTGTGACGTCAAACTAAACCGTATGCTTTAAAAACCTTTAGACACCCTGTACGTGTTATGGTGGTTTGAATGCAATAAAAGATGTATTAGCTAATACATCTTTTAACATTTTTGAGATAACATGTTCTTACTTTTTTTCTGAATGTTCCTTTTAATGACTGGTAAAAGAGTCTCTCAAATAACTCAAATTATATAGAACATTGGTTTCTCTTCGCTTACATTTAATTAGTTACTGGTGAAGTCTAAGTACCGAACGATGTCAGAATATGGAGTAGGTAACGTACATTTCAAGGTAATAATATGTAAATTAGTAATAGGAAAATATTGAAAAAAAAGCGTTCATTTCACGTTTTAACGCAGTATTATCATGGGGAGTCCGTGGATCAAACGAGTTGCAATCAGTCAACTTAGTTGACGGGTAATTAATAAATAGTCCTGAAGTAAATGCAATGTATTGAAACTGGAGGTTTTTATTATTTTGATGGTTGTCTTTCATTGTAGTCAGTATATCCATGGTGGGATATTTTATGTTGGCATTTTCTACGTAGCTTGGCTTACTGTAGCAAAAACTATCTACCGATACCTGAAAAATTTAATCAAAAGAAATTATTGTCTCTGATTAAACCCATACGTCCAAGGATCAACATTTACCTTTATTCCTGATAATGCCTATATTTTTATGTCTTAATGTCTATATTTTTATCTATGTATTTTTACTTTGTTGTTAGAGTACAAAAGAATGATTGCTTTATTGTATAAGGCGCTTTATTAATATAATAATAATAATAATAATAATAATAATAATAATTATAATAAGATAATAATAATACCCACGTAAAACCTTTGAAAAACATTTCTAAGTTAATAATCACCCTGGTTCTGAAGTGAAGGTTTTTCTGATAAGTCCCGTCCACACAGCAGTCCTGGTGCCTGATACTAGAGGTCATCTGCTCATATGTATCCTCCATGGTATTTTTAAGATCAACTAAAGCAGTTTTTATACTTTCCATCCGTTGAGCAATTTTCTTGGAAATCTGCAAAAATATTAGTAACAATGAAATTTACTTGCATTTTTGTGCATCCGTTGCCTTTTTACAAACTTATGAAAAACGCTATTTAGCGCACAGTATTCCTCATTGTTATATTAATTAATTATTATAATGCTTGTAATGACTGTGAGAGGTATACATTTCATCTTTTAAGAAAATATTGATTTTAATTTTGTTGTTCATTAAACCTGAAAGCAACATTTACATTATAGTTACCATAGTCTTTAGTTACCATAGTTACAATAAGCAATTCTTGTAAAAATATGTCCCTATTTTTTCCTTCATTTCAGATGTCTTAACCAATGATGCCATAGCTCGCCAAGTAGGTTCTACCAAACTGTTTTTCTGTTTCCGTTATGTGATTCTACTTTCTTGATAACATTTATACCTATATTTTGCCATAATTACATAACTAATTGAAATAGAAATGTAACTTACATCTTGTGATAATCTTTGTCCATCTCGAAGTTGATCGTTGTAATGCATGTTATTATATATTTCCTAAGCAAAAGAAAAACATCCAACTTCGTGACAGTATTATTTAATGCTTATATCTTAGTGTATATGACTTTGAAAAAAAATGTTTTCCAATATCTTGAAAATATTGCCATAAGCTAAGTAGTCACATGCAAGACTGCAATACAAAGGTTACGTTGATCCTTTCTTCAAGTTGTTTTTGATAATCTTGCACGTTTTAGTGAATGCACAGGAAGGCTTCTTATTTTGAATTGTTGCTTCTTTAAATTGTTTCAACTTAAGTATGCAAACAATCTTTAAAATTACGAATCGTTTCTTATGGTTGATTTTAACGTTTCTTTCCAAATTGTATTTTATCATTTGCACTGGAGGACTGCAAGTTGTATCCTCGGTAGATCTTTTACGAGTTATCTCCTATGCGAGCTCGTTTTTTACTGTCTTACTCCACATCTTGGAGTTGGGTTTGATAATGCTAGGTTATAACAGTAAATGTTCTACCTACTGTGTGATGCGGGCGACCAGATCATAAAAATATCATATCAGCGATTCTGAGGTGACGAGTTTGTCGGCAACACAAGCCTTTTCCAAATTTATATCGGCGATTCAGGCTTAATGAGTTTTACTTGGGTGACATAGTCCTTAGTTACTTAAATGCTTTCTTCTGATTGAATTATACGCATTTATTTCTAGCGTTTAGTAAATTTATTACCTACTATCTTCTTTAAAACTCCAGATGTTACAAGACATTCGAATTCTAAAAGCATGCTTAAAAATTGAACCAAAGGGGTATTTAAAAAACCGAAAAATATATCTGTTTGATTCTACTCTGGAAAAAAAGCATCTTTAAAAAATTCAACACAGATGAGGAGATTAAATCTAAAGCAAGAAAATACATGTAAATGGTGAATAAAAAATACAATGAAATATATGGAGATATTTAACAGTATCCAAGCTTTAAAGTCCATTAATCAACACAAAATTTGAGCAGCAAACACGGACCTCCAAATCGTCAGAGATGGGATCAGTGCCTTGGAGGAGTGCATTTTCATTCACTGCCGACCGGTCACACCCGCCGTGAGTTCCCTGTCACAATCGGCAAACAACGGAAAAACTCGACGACAACTCAATGTATACAATAGGCCAACAATTATTATGAAAAACCTCAGTCACCAGGTGATTAATGTAAATTAATGCATATAATAGGACTTTGACTATATGAAAAAGAATAAAGTTTCATTTTCCAAGCATATTTTTTTCATATCAAAGCAAGCCGATGTCACATAAAATTTACGTTTATGATGATGGACAGAAAATTAACCCATTTAGTTCAATTGTTTGCAAAAGTCATCAGAAAAAAGTTATTAAGATGAAATAGAAAAGCTTTACATTCAACTTGGTTAGTATATACGAGTTCCTCCTTGGTGTAAGAGAAAATTTAAAATTAAGAATTTTTCCCATTTTTTCTCAGATTGTTATAAAATTATATATGCACTTGCCATGTTTAAAAATATTACCTTTGTAAAATATTACCTGCATTAAATATTACCTGTATAAAAGACCTTCCTACAGCATCTGCCACTCTGTTTAATTCGCCGGCCAGTATATCACCATTTATTCTTTGGTCATTAGTTCCCTTCGCTGGCTCAAAACTCCCCAAGAGAAGAATTATAACTATGTAAAAGCTTCTTAACATTGCAATATTTAGGCCTTCTTTCATTTAATTAATGTTCTTTATACTCCAAAGTCTTTAAATGTATTTTTTTCAAACTTTCAAATGTAGGTCATGCTTCTTAATGTTGTTTCTTTTTTGCAGGCTTCATACTCAGGTTGGGAATTCCCCGGAAATCCCAGTGTAGTTTTGCATAAACATTTCTATAGGTCTTTGTTTCCCAGGCTACCAGCTATAAAATGCAAACATGTACATTATATTATATTTTTACAGCAAAAAGATATGATGCAAACAACAGCTACACATTCATGCACTACATATTGTTTTCTGAAAAACATTCGAATGCTGAATTCTTTACGATGGTTAAATCGCACAACTCTGGTAGCGAGACGAATAATAGAAATATTAATTAATGCTTCATATAATCTCTACAAATTTCTAAACAATAAAATATAGGGAGATAACAAACAGTATTCAACTTAAAATACATTAAACAAAAAACAAAATTGGAGCAGAGTAAACTCGGACCACCAAAACACCAGAGGTGGGATCAGGTGCCAAGGTGAAGTTAACATCCCCTGCCAACAGGCCACACCTGCCTTGTGGTCCTTGTCATGATCGGAAAATAACGGAATATCTGACGACAATTAAGTGTGTATATAATGGCCTAGCAATTCGAATGAAAAACGACAGTCAGCTTTTGACTTTCAATAATGAAATAAAATTATTTGAAAAAATTAATCTAGCAAACCAACTGATTAGAATGTGTGTTGTCCTACGAGCTTCAAGGACCCAATCTCACAAATTTTTTTAAAACATCAGATGTGGAATCATGTGCACTGTAAAGGCGTAAACATCCTCTGCATTCGCCTTGTGCTCGTTGTCATGATCAAGGAAATGGCATTCGACTTAATGATAGATTGTATTTGTATGCTTACAAAGTCATTGTATAGACCATAGAATAGTGAATGTTAACGAGATTTTTTATCACAGCAACTGTTTTATGATACTTTTATGCATTTATTTAATATATTTAGATCTTTCAGAGATTGGAAAGTGCTAAAGCTTCATTTTTTGTGTTTTTATCTATTTCTTTTTCAATATTGTTATCCGATTTAACATTTTTAAGCCATTGATAAAGATATACGTAGTTTGATATGCTCGATAAATTTTCAGTCATAAAATTTTGGCAGTAATTGTCAAGCATTGCATGCATGGCCCAGTTTTATTTTTCGTTTTACCCTGTTAAATATGAAAAAATAAAATGCTTGGAAAAAAAAAATGAAAAAAAAATGTATGGACATCAAAACATTTTAATCCAATTTAACCCAAAAACATATGAAGATATATCAAGTTATGATGTTTATTTTATATAAATATATCCAGATATTTGTCTTATTCAAATAAAATTTCTATTGTTATGTTTAAGGTCAACGGAAAATTTCCGAAACCTAAGACATTCACACTTTACGTGATACCCAGGATTTCAAAATTTAAAAAATTTAAAGAGGCTCTTTGTGCGCTGTACAAAAAGGGCTTATTTCCTTTCAATTTAGGAAATAAAAGTTTCGTCCTTTACATGCAGGATAAGGCACAGTCAACGGCAAATCCTGTAATCAATTAAAGTAATCTCAGTGATATAACAGGAATATTAGATCTAAATCAATTAATTGGTACATGAATGTTGAACAATTTACTCGGATAAATACGAATGGTGCATGTTTGAAATTAAGGACATACGATACGTTCCTAGATAGTATATTATTATATTTTTTCGGAGATTTTGCCATTGAAGCATTACTATTTTAATATTTTCAGTCACAAAAATGTAGGGACCTTACCAGGTATTTCTGCAGGATAACAAATGAGAGTGTTTCTTATCTAATCCTTTCGGAAATAACGTAAATTGCAAAAATTAAAAATAATAGCATTTTGACTTTTTAAAAACAATTAGAAACCATGCAGTTTCAAAATCATAGGGTAATGATAATTTTAAACATTTTTAATACATTACAAAGATATAGAAAACAGATATCTGAGGAACCGTCTAACTTTAAACTGAATGATGTCAATGATTTGATAAAACAAGGATATATCAGTCTCATTGAATCTTTTTATATTGTCAATACAATGACGTTGTCAGCAAAAAATATCTATCATTACATGTACGTCAAACGCTGACTTACGGTTATCAAACTTATTGTTAGGCCATAATATACTCTCTCTTAATTATCTACGAATTTATCCATTTTTCACGGTCACGACAAGAGGAACTTACGTTAGGTGTGACCGATTGATGGAGGATACTTACTCCTTGATAGTATTTGGCCCGTCTTTGACTTTTTACAGAAATTAGTGTTTCTTCTGCTCCTGATTTGTATTATTTAAATGAACATTTGAGCTGGGTTAAAGTTCGTTTACTCACTTTTTCACGTATTCCTTTACAAAATAACAGTTCTGATGAGTGTCTGAAGCCTCTTTATGTTTGCACATAAATAAAAAAATTAAATCGGTTTTTTTACTGACCTAAAAAAGATCATTGTATGCTTCATTGAAATCAGTAATTCAATATCCTACAACTTAAGTCATATTTCATTTTGATTATTTACTTTTCTTCCGAATCGATTAAAATTCTCTCAAGATTTATTAAGGTTACCCATGGTTAAACCGTGCGCCTTTTAAAAATAAATATAACGAGTGTCTGGTTTAATTACTCCCTTTTAAAAAAAACCATTCGTACCAGAGAGGATTAAATCTATTTCTTCCTTCTTTTAAGAAGAGATGCTGATAATGTGACAAATAGTTAAGACAAAATTTAAGCATTTTTACATATGGATAGGATTTGGTTTTTACCTTTAATTGAAAAGTGAAAATTTTATTGACATGTCACATGAAATTTTAACATTTTTTTAATTTATCAATTAAATGTTTTAACTGCAACGGAAAATATTTTCCCGAAATTGAGCTTTGGTTTGCTAAAAAATAACTTGAAAATTGGCCATATCAGACATTTGGTACAAGATTATACGTTTTGAAACACATTTTTCTAAAAATTTTCTATGTCTGGGTCTCTCTCCATGAATTTTAAACGTTATTTGTGTGTATTTTAATTCAAAGAAACGATTACAATTTTTTTTTAAAAAATGGAGAGAAGACCCAGAGACCACGAAAAATGAACTTTTCCCCAAAAAATCCAAATGTGTCAATGTGGTGCGTCGTTGTCCTTTTAAAGAGATGTGTATATGTGTAGCGGTGATAGCTCAGAAAGGTAGGCTACCTGTTCAATGCACTCGAAGCGAAAAGTTTTTGGTTCGAGCCTGGCATGGGGCTTTATTTTTTTTTTATTCAGGCAACCAACCGTTTATTTTGTCAGTTTCGTTTCATGTACTGATGTATTAAAATTTTGAATTAGATAAATTTTGGTTCAGTTTGGTTCTCAAGCGAAATCAATTCTAATCTTCTACTTTATAATGTACATGTACACGTATCATGCATCTATGCATTAAATATTTTAGGTTTTATTTTTTGTGAAATATTACTATGCTATAGTACCCCCTAGAAAAAAATGGACATAAATGTTATAATTTCACAATGTCTTTCAAACTAAATGAAAAAAAAAAAAACCATGGACGTGTTTGTAAAATCTGTCCAGGTATGTTCAGCCAACCAAATCATGGACATTTAAACCATAAATGTTTCGTACAAATGATTCCTGCAGATCACTCGCCAAATGCGCCCATCTTCTCTAAGCATTTATACACATGGATAGGATTTGGTTTTTATTCCTTTATTGCAATCACACAATTAAGCAAAACAACAAAATCATATAAAGTCATTTATTTCTATTAATTGTCAATTAAATAGTTTTAACTGCAGTCTGAGGAACCGAAATTACCATTTAATTTTTTTAAATACTTGGTGTCAAAAATTTTTGAAAACCGAAAGTGTAAATTAAGATGACAATTAAGTTAAGCAAGTAGTTGATATTAGGACTAAGGTGAAGTATATCCGGATTTTTTAATTATAAAATAAAATTGCTTGACAAATCAATGACAGTAATATTAAAAAAAAACAAATAAAACATATTTCGAAAAATGACATATCACGGACGCCATTAAAATTATTTTTTTGAAATTCTTTTGAAAAATACACGCGTATGAATATTTCTTAATTCCGACGAAATTCATTCTTCTGAACTTATTTTATCTTTTAATTGGCAATATTCCCGTATTTATTTTTCAATCAAGAGAAAAAAAAAATCAATGATTGACTTTTAAATTACTTTCTCACTAACTAATTGCACATATTTTATTAAAATCATAGTTTTACACATCATAGAAAGTGGTCTGAACAGAGCTGCACTAGATACTTCGCGCAAAATTATCGACGTAAAATACAGCTTTTTCGTTCAAAGGTTGAATTTACATGTCCCACTTGTCTGTTTATGTAGAAAAATCTTACCTCCGTAACAAATGAGCGTCCCAACCGAGATAATCTCCAAAGTTGTATATTGTAGGATTCTAAACTAACAATGTTGACACGACACACGTATAAAAAAATTGATTTAAAAGTATAAAAGGTATGCTACTGATACATTTTTTCTCAAATGTATTGGATATTTATTTCTTTGATTTGATACTTACCTATGTTACGATTCCAGACAAAAGTGAAAAAAAAATATACGCAATCATCAAATATTCCTCTTCCTGTTTGCTGTGTACACAGTTTCAGCGGTTCATTGAGCTTCATTGGGCATTTAAAATGGTTTTTTTCAGTCTTTAATGTCTTTTTAAATACTTCTTATATTATTTACTTCTCTGAGTGTCAAAAATTGTCTGTAATCGTTCATTGCTGTTTCGAGATAATTTGTTGGGGATTACTATTGTTGGGTCTTTTTTTCATAAGGGGTAAAAACCATACAATATACTGTTGTTGCTCTGGATTTTCAAGAAAATTCAAAAGATTACTGTAATTGTACTATTATCTTCTGGCGTCTGTACACGTACGTATAATTCAGTCCTGAGGATACTTGGTTAAATTTCTCATTGCAGAACTCAGAAATTTTTTTTTATGAAGTTCCTGCATACTATTCAAAGATTCTAAAAGTCTTGTTATGAAGTTCCTATATTATATTCACTCAGTTTACGCGAAGATTTATTATAGTGTTCTTTTTTGCGTAAAAGAATTACAGTAGCGGTCTACGAGAGCTGCATTATT